TAATCAGGCGGCCATCGCCATCGGCAACGACCACGTCACCAAGCCGCGCACGAAGCACATCCGGGTACGCCACCACTTCGTGCGGGAGCTCATCGCCGACGGAACCATTGTGCTGCAGCACTGTCCCGGCACGCAGATGGTTGCCGACGCGCTGACCAAGGCACTGGACAAGCAGACCTTCGAGCAGCACCTTCCACGACTGGTGGGAACCTCGACGGCTGAGACGGAGCAGAGGAAGGCAGTTGAGGGGGAGTGTTGAGAGTGAGTGAGTTTCTGTTTTGTGTTGAGTCCTTCCTAATTTGCCTTCTCGTGTGGTTTTGTCTTGTTTGCCAACAACACCTGCTTTGTGGTTTTTCCGTTGGCAAACATTCCTTCCTCTCTGCTGGCATGCATGTGTGCCAACTGCCTCTCCTCTCCTCCTTCCCCTACACACGTGAGTTGTGTGCCATGTGTGCCATGTGTGTGTGCATGCCCGTCATGCTTGGCAAATGCCATGTGTGCGTGCCATGCAGTGTTGTGAAGTGTTGTCTGTTGTGTATGCTTGCCTGCAAGCATTCATGCCATGCCTAGCATTGCTCTGCGCGCATGTATGCATGCTGCTCATTGTTTAGATTGTTTGTGTTCGTGCACACTCTGCCCATGTCGCCTTGGCAGCTCTGTTGACTGTATGCACTTGTCTAGTGTTTGTTTGAGCGTGCTGCCCGAGTTGATTTGGCAGCAGCTTGCTGTGCTTGTTCATTCTCCTTGTGTTCTTGTTTGTTGCGCTTGCCTACAGTAAACACACACACCACCTGTCGTGTTTCTACACTTCGTGGAGCTGACACCGCACCTGCAACAACACCATCCACGCCACATCACTGCGTTTGGCGGCACACGTGTGCCTGTGCGCGGTGTTGGCTCTGTGCTGTTGCATGCACGCACGACGAGCGGAGCTACGATGCAGATTGTGCTACAGGAGTGCCTCTACGTGCCCGAGGGCCAGGCCAACCTCATCGCCCTCGGTCGTCTGACCAGGGACAGCAGCGGCAGGCCAACGGGCCACTCGCAGCGTGATGGCGCTGATGGGCACTACGTGCGCTTCAGCCACGGAGCCGAGGTCAAGCTGAAGGAGCGCAACAGCCTCCGGTGCTGGCCCATTGTTGCTGTTGGTCCATCCACGGCACACGGACTCACCGCTGATGCCTGCAAGCAACCACAGCAACCCACAGCAGCTCCTGCAGCCCAGAGCAAGGCACACACACCATCGATGCATGAGGTGCTTGGCCACCGCAACGACAACGACGTGCAGCAGTACTGCAAGCTGATGGGCATCGACGATCGCAACGCCATCAGCAGCAAGCAGTGTACAACGTGCGCAGTGACCAAGAGCACTCGTCACAGTGTCAGCAAGCACGCGGAGCGCACACAGGTGCCCGGCGAGCGCATCCACGCCGACATCGTCGACTGGACCGCGGACTCACCCACGGGCAAGCGCTACAGCCTCGTCATCGTCGATGAGGGCAGCAAGCTCTTACATGCAGTCCATCTCAATGCCTAGAACGACGCAGTTGCCGCGTTCCAGTCTTTCCAGAGCAAGGCCAC